TTAGTAAGAGTAACAGACCAAGCCAGAGGGAAGAGTCTTTGTATCAAGTCCGCTGTGTCGAGCAGATCATGGGCTTATCAAGAGTCCCTGGTAAAATTTCTGATATCATCTACAAGTGAGAAAACCTTTTATTTTTTGACTTAGCTGATACTATAGTAAATTACTAAGTAAATTATAAAATTCAAAAAAGGGCTAAAATTGTTCTCAAATTTTGAGTCTTTTCGAAGTAGTGACAGGTAGCTGTTTTATGGTGAGGGATAGTAAATAGTGGCCTCTTGCTGGCCTCTGTAAGCTTCTGATTTCTACTGAGCTCTGTAGCCAGGCAACGTGCTCTGGAGGCTGCTGCTTGACATCTGCATCTGTCCTTCTAGGGAGCAGGCATTGTGTGACCAGTGAGCACTTTCTAAATTGTCGGCCTGATGGAGGGGCTTGCCCTGTAGCCTCATGGCAATGGGTATACTATAAAAGGTTTTATAAATAATTTTAAATGTTGAGACATACACCCAGATGACTTTTTGTTTCAGTGACCACTGAATACTTTGTACTCTTTCGAATAGCCTCTTTGGCACAAGCTGAATTGTAGTCGTGGAATATTTAACTATATTGTGTGTAGCATAGGATGTTATATGAACATAACATCAGTTCTTAATTTAACATGTGGTAGAATCCAAGAATGGATTAATAAAATGTGGTATATGTATACCATGGAGTACTATTCAGCTCTAAGAAACAATGGTGACATAGCACATCTTATATTTTCCTGGTTAGAGCTGGAACCCATACTACTAAGTGAAGTTTCCCAAGAATGGAAAAACAAGCACCACATATACTCACCAGCAAATTGGTATTAACTGAACAGCACCTAAGTGGTCACATAGGTACTATAGTATAGGGTATTGGGCAGGTGGGAGGGGGTCGGGGGTTGGGTATATACATATATAATGAGTGAGATGTGTACCATCTGGGGGATGGTCATGCTGGAGACTCAGACTTGTGGGGGGGGGACGGGAAATGGGCATTTATTGAAACCTTAAAATCTGTACCCCCATAATATGCCGAAATAAAAAAAAAATTAACATGTGGTAGATATCTAAATGTCAAATTATGAATACCTACATTGATTCTTTACCAGAAATTTAGGGCAAAATGACCCTCTTAGGTAACATAGTATTAGAAAAGGGGTCATAATAAAGAAGATTTTGGTGCAATAGCAGCTTAAAATAATGGGCCCTGGCCCTAGTCCAGGGCAGTGCTTTCTCTGACCTTTGAAAGGTGTAGATTTATTCCTGAGCTGATTACATCCCTCCCCGTGCAAAGCAGGTTTCAAAATTTAAGAACATGCAAAATTTTACTGTACTCCTATTTGACTATTTTGAGATCATAAAACAAATATTTTATGATTAAGGAAAATGATATGTCTTGTGCAGCTCCACATTCCTAGCAAGTCTTACTCTAAGAAGTGCCATTGGAATTTGCTGCTGTTGCCATTTGGAAGTTTCTGCTTTAATTTTGTCACAGATTTTTTTGGGGGAGTGGTAGAGTAAAAATAACAAATGCTTTCTAAATTTATGGTTTAATGGGCAGAATTGCTTGCACTGGTCATTAGCTTGGCAGCATTAGTGCTTTGGTTCATTGGAAATCTAAATAAATTATTTTGTTTATGGCTTTCCAATTTGCAAATTTAAAATATTATGTGCTCTTATAGTAGATGTATATAAAGGATATGAATTAAGTTAACATCTAAAACCTTAGTGGGATTCTGATACCACTATTAAATTTAGTTGTAGATACTAATATGTGGTATCATCATTGTTATGATACATCAACATTATCATGGCTTTCAGTATACCTAGATTAATTTGACTAATTAGCAAATAATCCATGTATGGACTCTGATTTTCATTCTGAAACGCATTTAGTGTCTGTTAGCTTAGGAAACATTTACTTTATTATCATGTACTCTATTGTAAAATATGATCTGGTAGTACCCAAGTTTCTGCACATTCAGACAGAAACTCTTCATGTTAAATTATTATTTTTTCCTGATTTTTGGTAGTTGGACAACATGTTAAAAAAAATACCAAGTTTTCAAAATAGATTGTGCACCAAGAACTTTTCCACACCTGGGTAAGAGTGATAGATTTTTCTGGCAGTATTTTAAAGTACAGTTTAATCTGTAAAGATAAGAATAACTCTGTTGAGTTTGAGATCCTTCTTAACTGTAATGCTTTGAAGGTGCTAGATATTCAACAAGTAGATATTGGATTTAATTTTATTCTTAGTATTTGTGATTTCTATTATACTATTAAAAATCTATCATGTGTGAATTTTTGGCTCAGAAGTCTATGATGTTTGTCTCTGATGTAGTTTGAAATTATGAAATAGAGCTGTATGGCCTAGAACCTTCTTCAACATTTAAATCCTTGAAATTAGGTAAGATTTCTTAATGAGATATTTTTAATTTAAGAAACAAATAATAGAACTGTTCAATTTCAGATTAATACCTTTTCATTATATTCAACGTTCATTTCTAAAACATCCCTTGACAATGAAGGAAAAAAAAAGATTGTGAAAAGCATTAAAGCTGGAACATTTTTTGACAATGTGTTTCCATTTTTAGTTCAATCTATAACCATATCCTTCATCCATCCTGCCTTGTCTTCATAATGTTTGTCACCAACTGATATATCATTTTTGTTGATTGTTTATCTCCTTCCAATAGGATAAAGAACCATGATGGCAGAGACATTTTTTCCCATTACTGTTTAATATATGATAGGCACTCAAAATTATTTGTTAAATGAATGAATGAATAAAACCCTTGGTTCCAGAAAAGATGGAGCAAGGAAAGTATGATTCTGGAACTTTATATAAATCCAATTTTCTCTTCAAGATCATTTTTAAACAAACTTAAAAAATTTTTTTAAACAATTCTAGTTATTCACGTATGCACTTCCTCTTGAAACTCATTTGAGAATGTAATCCAGCCAGCAAATTTATGAAGCAAAAATAAACAAAACTGGAATGGCAAAACCATAATAAAAGAAATTGGTGGTAAATAATGAATAAATTTAAGTAAAATCTAAGGCTATAACACTTAGGTATTTGATCCATTTGAGTTAAGTTTTATATGTGGTGTGAGGTAAGAGTTAACTTTATTCTTTTGCATGTAGCTATCCAGTTGTTCCTGCACTATTTGTTGAAAATGCTATTCTTTCCCCATTGAATGGTCTTGGCACTCTTGTCAGTTGATCAGTTGGTAGTAGATACCTGGGTTTATTCCTGTACTCACAGTTTCATCCTCTTGCTTAATAGAGTTATCCTATGCCAGCACAGCTCTTTCTTGATTACTAATGCTTGTTTAGTAAACTTAGAATTTGGGAAGTATGAATTTTCCAACTTTGTTCTTTTTCAAGATTGTTTTGGCTATTCTGGATCCTTTTCAATTATATGTGATTTTTAGAATGAGTTTGTCAATTTCAAAGACCTCATGTAAGAGCTAAAACTATAAACTCTTAGAAGAAACATTGGACTTAAATCTTTATAATCTCAGATTTGTTAATGGATTTATAGATATGACACTAAAAATACAAGTAACAAAAGAAAAATTGATAAATTGGACTTTATCAAAATTAAAAACTTTTGTCTTTCAAAAGATACCTTGATGAAAGTGAAAGGCAACTCACATAATGAATTAAAAATGGAAACTATTTGCAAATCATCTATCTGATAATAGATATATCTACAGTATATAAAAAAGTCTTACAACTCAGTAATTAAAAGTCACATAACCCAATTAAAAAGTGGAAAAAGGATCTAAGTGGACATTTCTGCCAAAAAGGAATACAAAATGGCTAATAAACATAAAAATATGCTCCACATCATTAGTCATCAGGGGGATGCAAATCAAAACTGCATCAGGGGACTACCACTTCATATCCATTAGGATGTGTAGAATCAAAAAGTCAGATAATGACACGTGTTGTTGAAGAAGGAAAATGGGAACCTTGTACACTGCTGGTGGGAATGTAAAATAGTGTAGCTACTTTTGCAAACAGTCTGCAGTTCCTCAAATGGTTAAGCAGAGGTGCCATATGGTCCAGCAGTTCCACTCTTAAATGTCTAGCCAATAGAAATGAAAAATAGATCAACATAAAAACTTGCACATGAATGTTTATTGCAGCATTATTCACAGTAGCTAAAAGATAGGAAAAAAACTCTAATGTCTATTGGCGAACTAGTAAACAAAATGCATTATACATTGGTGTACAATGGAATATTATTTGGCCATAAAAAGGAATGGAGTACTGATACATGCTGCAGTATGGAGGAAACTTAAAAATATTATACTAATGAGGGCAGTCACAAAATACCATATTTACATGAGATGTCCAAAATAAAAAAATAGTGGTGTAAAGTAGATTAGTGGTTGTTGAGGGCAGGAAGAAGGATTGGGTGGGAGGAGAGGAGAGGAGTATCTAATGATGGATACAAAATTTCTTTGGGGATGATTAAAATGTTCTGAAATTGACTGTGTTGGCAGGTGCTAAAATCTGTCAATATACTAAAAACTACTGAATTGTGGACTGTAAATTGGAAATTAAAAATTATTTCTCAAGTTGTGAATATGTGAATTATATCTTGATAAAGCTGATATTAAAAGACAAAGTATGGCTGTGGCCGGGCATGGCAGTGGCTCATGCCTATAATCTCAGCACTTTGTTTGGCCAAGGCAGGAATGTCACTTGAGCCCAAGAGTTTGAGGTTGCAATGGACTATGATAATGCCACTGTACTCCAGCCTGAGCGACAGAGCGCAACGCTGTCTCAATCAGTCAATCAATAAAGCAAGCAAGCAAGCTGAACAACTGTGTGAACTAGGGCCACAGATAAGAATGTCAGGGTTAACTATGTAAAAAGGAAAAAAAGGAAAAAGAAAAAAGAGGGGAGTAATATTATCTCACCAAATTGGAAGAGGAGATTTCCTTCATAGCATCTTACCCTTGGCCTTTAAGTTCATAAGTGAGCTGGCTCTTGGCTGCATTTGCCTCCTTTCTGTTTAGCCATGTTAACTTCTTTGTTGCTCCTGGCTTCAACAAAGCCTCTGCACTTCTGTGCCCTCAACACTTCCCCCAGATATTTGTATGGCCTGTTCCTGCACACGTTTAGATCTCTGTTCACATCATGTCTCATCATAGAGGTCTTCTGTGACAACCTTTTCTGATGTCACTGTTAGCCCCTGAGTGGAGGTTTTTCCAGGTTCTTAGTGATCATTGGAAGAAATGAGTTTCAGGATACACCACATAAGCCAAGCAAGCGAGTTTTTTGTGTTTTTTTTTTTAACTGAAAGCAAAGGTACACTCAAGAGAAAGAGAGTAGGCAGGCTTGAGAAGAAAAGAGCAGCTGCACCTGGAGGAAGGGAATTTTGGTCTTTTGAAATCTTACTAATAGATGGGAAGAATAATCTAGGCTAAAAGGTTGGCTTTTACTAAGAATCTAGGTAGTAATTTCTATGATTGGGTTCCTTCCCATTTTCATACTTTATATGGTTGTCTCAGAACTGTCATGGTGATTTCAAGGGTGTAGAAACTTAAAAACTGTAATTTAAATGATATTGTAATTAGTCAAAGTTCATGTAAGGCAACATAGCTGACCAGGTGGTTGAAGCTAGTTCCTGCCTGTGGTTCTCAGCCCCTCTAGTTAGCTTCTGCTTGAGGGTACTTTAACACCTGCACCCAATCTACAAGCTGCTGCAGCCTGTCTCAGCGTGTCTCCTGGTCTCTTGCTCTAACATCATTGTCTTTTCCTTTCTGTGCCCAGAGAGTCAGTGTTGTGTAGTGCAGAGCACAACTTCAGAGCCAGACTGCCTGAGTTTGATTCCTGGATTTGTTAGCTGTGTGTTTTAGATAAGCTTCCTAACCTCTCTGTGTCACAGTTTGTATGTCTATAGAATGTGGACAATAATTGTATCTGCTTTATAGAGTTATGAAGATTAAATGAGTTAATATAGGCAAAGCTTTCAGAATGATGGCTGGCATGTGGTTAGTAGCATCTTAAATGTTATCTATGACTCTTATTACCTGACATAAATTTGTTTATTGTCTATTCTCCCCTACTTGAGTATAAGCTCCAGGAGGTCAGGGACTTTGTATGTTTTGTTTACTACAGTATTCCATGTGCCTAGAGTAATGATTAGCACATTTTAGATACACAACAAAATCCTGCTGAATGAATGAATTTTGTTTGATCATCCTGTCTTTGAATTCTTATTTTATAGACTTCATGTTCTTAGTATGAAACACTTGTTAAAATGATAAGAAATACTTCATTCAAGACTATTACAATGAGAGTATTGCAATAGGAGAGAGAGATTGGTCTCAACTCCGAATGTGATAAGGAGAAATGGAGATTTATAGCCAAGAAGCATGGTGGGGGTCATTGGATGGTAAATTATTAAGAGGAGACATTTGAGTAGGGGGTCTCTTGTCTGGAGTTGTGTTGTGGCTTTTCAGGGCTGGCCTAGCTTCCTGCTGCTGTTCTGCTTTACCACTGCATTGTGTGTACTACTTTCAGAGACGTGTGTCTAACAGAGACATCAAGAAGTGCCTCTCCTTTGCTAGGGAAAATCCACATTACCTAGCCTGGCACCCAAGGCTCCAGCCACTCTCACGCTGAGAGGTTGCCTCTCGTTCCACTCTGTGGTATCTATATTCTTGATTTGCCAGATGTGCCTTGTGTCCTGATCATGCCTGCTCTTCCATAACTGGGTGTCTGAGGTATGCTTTCTCCTCCCTCCTTTTGCTGTCTGGTTTAATGCAGGCAGAGCATTTACACCTTCCAGAGGCAGGCTTTCCTCGAGCCTGGGACAGTGCCTTCTGCGTTGTGATGCTCTTTGCTTGCTGCTTCTCCTCCCTCACTGCCTTCCCACCTTCTTTTGTTTACTTTTGGTTACTTAATCTTTCAAATTCTAAGATTTATCCAGAAATCCTCCAAATAAAATTGCAGTGTCTAATTCTGCTTGAATTTCTAATTATTTTCACTTTATACATATGCAAGCTATTATGGTACTTTGTATTCATAATGTTTTAGCTTTTTTATAGCCTACATTTTTTAACTTTATAAAATATCTTTTTCCTGATTAATGCCATTTTCTTGAATTGCACTTCATTTGATGCCAATATTACTACTTTTATTTTATCAGCATTTGTTATCCCTTTGTTTTTAGTCTTTTCTGCTTCATGTTGTATTGGACATGTATCTTGAAAGTAGCATCTAATTAATTTTTTTAATACTTAAATAACTTGTGTGTCTTAAATAATGTGAGGCATTTACATCTGTTTAGAATATCGATATATCTGCCCTAATATCTATCATTGCATTTTTTTGTTTTTAAAATTTATTTTCTTTTTATTTTTTTCCTGTTTCTGATATCTGTTATTGATTTAATTTTCTTTAATATATATTCCACCTCCAGTTGTCTCAGAGTTCTACATTCCAACTATATTTTGTTGGTTGTTTCTCATAAGAATATTTGAACCTAGAAATTTCTGGAATTTAACAGTATCTTCATCCTACTGCATGCTTGCCAAGGATATAAGGAAATCTTGTACATGCTTTTAAGCTTGTCTGCTGTCTTCTACTTGAATCCTGGGTTTTATAGAAATAATTTATATTTTAAATACTAGATCAGATTATACAGTATTGCTTTTTTCTTTTAATATCTTTCTGAACAATTGTAGTTAATTCTTCTGCTGCATTATTAAACATGGTTTGGGCTAGTTATAATTGTTTATCTTTATTGTTTACCACTTATTACATGTCTTATTTATTTGGATTTTTTTATTGTTGTTGTTGTTGTTTTGTTTTGCTGAAGTGCTTCTGAAGCAGTATATTGGTGGTATAATTCCTACATCTTTTTGTTTTAAAAGAATGATTTTCCTTTATTTTCACAGTTAATATAGTTATCCCTCAGGATCCCAGGGTAATTGGTTCCAGGACCCCTCTTGGACACCAAAATCCACTGATGCTCAAGTCCCTTATATAAAATGGTGTAATATTTGCATATAACCTATGCATATCCTCCCATATACTTTAAATCATCTCTAGATAACTTACAATGCCTAATACAATGTAAATACAACAATGTAAGTTGTTATGCTGCATTTTAAAAATTTATAATGCTTTTATTCTTATATCATTATTTAAAAAAAATTTTTTTCAAATATTTTTGATTCACTGTTAGTTGAACCTGTAGATGAGGAACCTGTGGATACGAAGGGCCGACTTTTAAATATTTTCTTTCCAATCTGGAGTTTTAATCCTTTTCCTCAGATTTGTGTATTTGTTGCTCTCTCCTTTTTAGCATTTAGAATTATCTTTCCTCCTCTTTATACCCCTTTCATTCCCTTTATTCTCTTATCTCCATTTTCTTCCTTGCTTATTTCTTACTAGGGAGCTGATGGTGATATTCCCTGTATTTATGTCTGGAAAGCCCAGCAGGAGTTTGGGTGCACGTGATCTATCAGTATCCTTGTCTGGTGCTTAAGGGGCTCTCTGTCCTCAGGTAAATTTTCCATTTGGTTGATTCTTCCTTCTCTTTCATCCGTTCAGTTATATAGTTAGGGGGTCTCCTGGATATGGCATTTATGTTTCTCATTTATTCTCTCATTATTTTTCCTGTGTGTTATGATCCCCAATCTTTGGCACTAGGGACCAGTTTCATGGAAGACAATTTTTCCACAGATGAGGGGTGGGGCGTGGCTTCAGGATGATTCAAGCACATCACATTTATTGTGCAGTCACACCTCTCTGCTGATGACAGTCTGTATTTGCAGCTGCTCCCCAGCGCTGGCATCCCCACCTCAGCTCCACCTCAGATCATCAGGCACTAGATTCTCATAAGGAGCCAACCCAGATCCCTCGCACACGCGGTTTGCAGCAGGGTTCTCACTCCTATGAGAATCTAATGCCGCTGTGGAGCTGACGGGAGACAGAGCCCAGGCGGTGATGCAAGGGATGGGGAGCGGCTGTCCATACAGGTGAAGCCTCACTTGCTCGCCTGCCTGCCGCTCACCTCCTGCTGTGCGGCCCTGTTTCTAACAGGCCACGGACCAGTACTTTCAGGTCGTCTTCTAAATCAAGAATTGAATCTTATACTATGTTCATTTGTTTACCTAAGATCTCCAGAGAGTATCTTACTGAAGCAACTGGATTTTAGTTTCCGGGAGCTCTTTCACAGCCCTCAGTTGCTCTTTCTTTTTCATAGTCACCTCGTCCTGCCTCTGAGAGGCAGTGTCTTCACATCCCGCCAAGGATACTGAGGAAGGGCTGTTCCCCTGCTTACTCAGCTTGGCCTGTCTCCCATTTGGGGATGCCAGTCTTCATCCAGTGTTCAGTGACTTTTCATGGCCTGCTTATTTTCATACAGGGAGGTGTAAACTGACTGGTGTTGATAATGGGCAAGTGCCCCTCACAGCAGTTGTGGAAGTCTCTTTTTGCTTTCTCCGAGGGGGTCTCTGTCACCAAATGGTCATTGGAGATGAACATGACAGGGGTCCACAGGCCAAAAGGTGCATTCCTTTCCAGGTGTATCTCCTAGGAACAGATGAGAAGGTCATGACCCCTCTAGGAAGGCACCACAGGATATTGAATAGGACATTTTCTGGTTTTGCATACTGGTAATTTGTGTCCAGAGCAGAGGTCCTAGAGATGTGAAGTGTTTAGGTAATTAAGAAATCATCAACAACTAAAACCTCATTCCTTTCTGAGGGCTTAAGAATCAGCAGCAGAAGCTGAGAAGCAGCTTTGCTGTCTCCCAGCACTTTCTCTCTTTATTCCCTACCCTCCTATCCCTACCTGTCAGAGTAGATTGAGTAGGAAGAGTGGGGAGAGGGGCTGAGAATCCTCAGCCCACTGGAGAGTGCTGTGGCTGTTCCTTCCTTGTGCCAGGATAAGAACGTATGAACAGCAAAAGACTTACTAGGAAATATTGGTAGTACTTTAAGGAGAAAAAACAGGCATCTTATTCCTTAGTTGGAAATCTGTTTAAGTAGTATGGCAAAAGCTGTTAGTTGTCCCTCAATTTCTGTTCTTCCCTTCTGAGTAATGGAATTCTTACTTTTTATCTGAGTACATGTTCTTTCAGAATAACTACATTTTCCAGGGTGGACATGTGAC